GAGCTACTGTTCGATGGACTTGTAGTTGGCTGACAGGCCATCCCAGAAGAGTATTTAGTTTACCAATTGCTCCTTGTTATCCTGTAGAGAAGTGGCACATGGGGTATGACAAGTTTCTGTCCTGTCCCTGTTGTATATGAGATAGGGCACAAAAAAGGCTCTCACAGTATCTTGTAGACATTAAGTCAGGACCAGCCCCAGACATTTTGCATCTCCATTGCACCGAAAGAACCTGATTTGTCTGGCTGATGGCTATTTCAGCATTGAGTATGGGATAATGCTCTCTACCCACCTGAAGGCAGCAACACAATGTATAGGAGCACAGCAAGCCACATGGCACCCACATCTCCGCTTTCCGAAGGAGAAAACACCCAGTGGCTTACAAGATGCAACCAGGAGGCTACTGCCCCCTCTCAGCTGCTGCCACCTGAGGTAGATGGCTAACTGTGCCCCCTCTCAGCTGCTGCCACCTGAGGCAGATGGCTAACTGTGTTTAATGGTAGAGCTGGCTCTGTATTAAGCTATAGAGAGAGTAAATGGTATCGTATTGAATAATGTCAACTTCTTCATCCCTATTTGCAATCCGCACTCAAAACTGTCAAAACTTTTTCCCCACTTCACAGCTTGTGAATTCAATTTGTACATGTATATGCTTGCTGGATAGCTGAGTGGTTTAGATCTGGCTGCAGAACCAGAGGTTGACAGTTCGATTCCCCCACTGTGCCTCCTTGTGAGTAAAGCCAGCCTGTGTGACCCTGGGCAAGACTTAGGAATGATAACCCACTTCTGAATATTCTCTATCTGGAAAATCCTGAAAAGGGTTGCCATAAGTCAGAACTGAATTGACAGCACATGATTATTTTTTTATGTTTGCTGAAGTCGGAAGAGTGCTTCAGTTCATCTATAGAAAAGCTGAATACTCCATTTCTTCTAGCCAGCAGTAAAATGGATGCCTGCTAATGAATTACATTTCTGTCACTATATGATCATACGTAGCCCTGCTGGGTAATCTTACACATTCTACAAAGCCCCTGAATACATCTGATGGCTGTTCCATATAAATGGATGCTGAGCACAGTCTTACAAAACATTATCCTGTGTGCATCCTGTTGAAATGAAAGGAAGCAGAAATGCAAGCGTTGCTCTCTCTTTTTGTCTTCCTCATTTTCATCGCAGTGAGCTTACTACAGATAACATTTTGGAGGCTAATGTGCTCTTCACCTATTTTAAAAGATTCCCCAGCCCCAATTTTTTGATACCATCAGCAAGTAATTAAATTAATTGGATTCCCTGCTAAGCGAATAAGTATAGAGGTGGGACATTTGGGAAGAAGAACACCATCTTTTTAAGATTCCCACAAAATGAGCATCTGCTGCAGGGCACTTGGCCGTATGTTGTGTCCATACAGATGCTGATCAGTGTGCTGAGTAGAAACAAGCAAATCTGCCATTTCAGCTTTTCCCTAGATTTTTTTTTAAAAAAATTCAATTTCTTAATGTTCATCAATTCTTATTTTTAAAAAATGAGCTTACCAAAAGTCTCTCCCCCTCCCTATGTACCTAAGGGATATACGGGAGATGCAGCTGTTCCTAACATGGAGAGGGGCCAGGTGGTACCACATTCTCAGGGTTATGAAAGTAGGGAGTAATTTCTCCATATCCTCAAGTGGAGTGGCTTAGAGAGATTTTTTAAATGGAGTTTTAGGTGGACACAAAAGACCTCCTTTTTTCTACTGTTTGGAAGTGATGCCGGTATCTTTCACATTACTATGAATAATAATAGTAACTATGTGCCATCATATCGATTCTGATTTCTAGCAACCCTTTCCAGGGTTTTCTAGGTAGCAAATACTCAGAAGTGGGTTATCATTCTCTTCTTCTTCTTGGGATTATCTGGGACTCTGTGGCTTCCCCAAGACCACACAGGTTGGGTCTACTCATAGGAGACATAGTAGGGAATCAAACTCCCAACCTCTGGTTCCCTAAACCAGTGGTTCTCAAACTGGGGTCTCCAGATGTTCTTGGACTGCAATTCTCAGAAGCCTTCACCACTTGCTGTGCTGGCCCAGGATTTCTGGAAATTGCTGTCCAAGAACATCTGGGGATGCCAGTTTGAGAACCACTGCCTATCCAACCAGCCTCCTATTTTTTTAAAAAAATGTGTGGTGTAACAAAGTTACATTTCAAGACCAACTTTATAATTGGGAACAAAGGGGGTTATAACATGTTCTAGTTACTTTTTAGTTACTTGTCCCATTTTCAAAATCCACAACCAATAATGAAATGATCTGTTGAGAATATGACATACCAGGCTGGAAATTCATTATCCTAATGCAGATAGATGAAGGGCTGGAAACAGCATCATTCCAAGTAACTCTCAAGAAGAATATCTCTTCCTACAACAAAATTTTACATCCCTGTGGATATTCAACTGATTTCTCTAAAACCTGTTACAGATTCCGATTCCCAGTGCTCTTTTCCAGCTTGGTGCCATCCAGTTGTGAACAATTTCCATCATCACACTAGTGGCCAGTGATGGTCACCGAACACATCTGGAGAGTGCCAACAGAGAGTTCCCAGCATCTGGGAAACAGTTATTCTGTTTATATTTCTTGGCTGGAAGAAAACGTTAACCCTTATTCAGTATCTGGTTTGTACAACCTACCAACAGGTGGTGCAATTGAACTTCATTGTAACAAGCAGTAGCCATGAAATTGGGGTTAAGCATTTGCTCTTATATGTGGGCACAGAGATGCTCGTATTATGGGGCCACTATCACTCATACAGTAACAATAATTTTTAAAATGACCTTCTAATTTCAGAAGTCCTACGCCTACTGAGTCAGTATTGCAAATATGTAATTAATTAGTGAAATAAGTTGGCCAAATTGACTCAGAACCCAAAGTAATTTCTGCACAATAACTGGAACTGAATAAAACGCAATGTACACAAATTTTCTGGGCATGTGTGCGCTAGAGCTGTAAAAGAGATTGGTGTTGCCTCTTCCCTGTATCCAAGGGAAAGAGAAGCAGGTGGCAATAGTACAATGGGGAGGCTCACCGAGATAGGAATTGAAATCTGGCTAAAGAAACCAGCAGTGCCCTGTCTGCTGGATTGGAGAACTGTTGGACAGACAAGAGTAATGGCAGCAGTAGTCACTAAGCAGACTGTAGATCAGCTCACAGGTTAAGAGAAATGCCTACTCCCTGCTCTTCAAAGCTAATTAACCCTGCCAATGAAGTTCATCTTCATCTTCCAATGAACAGTTGCAAAATAAAAGCAAGCTAGTATCCAAGGTGTGGATAGAGATTGTGTTAAAATAAACATACAGGATTCTGGTCACAGTCTTTTATCTTTTCCAGGAGCTCTGCTCCTAGGGTGCTAAATGTGTCAGTATTAATTTGGTTCTCACTCTGCCTTGGTATGGGGGCCCTGTGGGTTAAACCGCAGAAGCCTCTGTGCTGCAAGGTCAGAAGATCAGCCGTCGTAAGATCGAATCCACACGACAGAGTGAGCTCCTGTCACTTGTCCCAGCTCCTGCCAACCTAGCAGTTCAAAAGCATGCAAATACAAGTAGATAAATAGGTACCACCACAGTGGGAAGGTAACAGTGTTCCATGTCTACTCGTGCTGGCCACATGACCACGGAAACTGTCTTTGGACAAACGCTAGCTCTACAGCTTGGAGACGGGGCTGAGCACTGCCCCCTAAAGTCGGACACGACTGGACTAAATGTCAAGGGTAACTTTTACCTTTACCTATGCCTTGGCATTCTGGACCACATCTAGATTTGGGTTTCTACATGTGGTTAAAGGTGTTTTGTGCCCAGCTCTGGACTAATAAGCGCATACGTGTTCATCATTTGATGTATATCTATACATGAGCCTTCACAGATAGATTTGCAATATTAATTTAATACTGCAAAGCTTGAGAAGAGCCAATTCACACATTTAACTCAGCTGCAAGCTATGAAGGGCTGAGTAATCCTGCAATGACAAAAACAATTCATATGTGTGCATGTCTGAGTGTGCCTATTGCAGGAATAGGGACACACTTCAATTTAGTTTGATTTTTTAATAAAGATTTATCAGGAATGTATTCATATGTTGGACAGAGAGGGTCCAACATATGATGTTTTTTATGAACATAGGAGAAGTTAAAAAAACTGAAAGATGCATCTCTCCAAACCCAGGGCTTTTAGTGAGTAACTCTTAAACATGTGGGTTTGAATTCTTCTGGAGCTTTTGTGAAGTTATGGTTAACGTATTGGACTGAGACTTAGCGGTTTCAAGTCCCCAAGAAGTTGGGAAATTCATTGGTTGACTTGGGGCCTGCCCTACCTAACCAAGTTGTTATGACAAAGAAGTGACCAGAAAGAGAATCATGTATATCAACTAACTGGAAGCAAACAGGATGCAAAAACAACACACAAACAAGCAGGTGACAGATGGCAGCACATTTTGCATGCCATGGGGTTTAACAATGATTCTTGAGCTTGTGGACCTTCCTTAACCATCTGTACAATTCCATTTTGAACCAGAAGGAAAGTCTGTCGGTGTTCCATATTAAAGATTCCATTCTTGACAAAGCCTAAAGGAAAACAGGAAGGGACTATAGAAAACTTTCATATACATCTAACATGTACAGTTATTTCCTGCAGTTACCAAGATATGCTCGTTGCCACCAACCATCCCTACAAAATTCAGCATGAATCAGAGTACAACTGTGTCTATAAGATCAATCTGTTCCTCTCATTCTGCCCTCCTCTATAGCAGTAGGGATTGTACAGTATATGTAAACCCTGGTTCACAATGAAGCAGAAAATGGACACAAATTGGGAATGATGTGAAGCTTACAGAGCACATTGTACCATTTTAAGTTGTAGGTAAAGGCTCTTTGAATAGTTTCCTTTTGCAAAACAAAATAAAATCACAGCAGGTAAAACATCAGCAGAGCAGGTAAAACATCAGCACAGCAGGAAGGATGGCTATGTAAGATTACCTTTCTCTGAGATTATCTTTCTATGAAGTAGATTTCTCTTCACTGAAGGTCTCTTCAGCTCTGCTGTGTTCACTGAAGTTCTTTCTTCCTTTTGAATTTTAGATGTATCACTTTCCATGTGATTAATGCCAGGAAAGAAGGGGTGGGGTGGCATTCCACTCGTCATCAATTTATTCCACCCAGGTAAATGATGTCCAAAGAAGCCAACAGTGTGATGTGGCTGCAAAAAAAGCAAATGCTGTTTTAGGCTGGATTAATAGAAGTAATAGTTTCCAAATCCAGGGACGTGTCAGTCCCCCTCTATTCAGCACTGGTTAGGCCTCACCTTGAATGTTGTGTCCAGTTCTGTACACCACACTTCAAGATGGATGCAGACAAATTGGAACAAGTTCAAAGAAGGGCAACAAGGATGATTGGGGTGGTGGTGGTGGTGGAAAACAAGTCCTATGAGGAAAGACTGAATGAACTGGGTATTTTTTAGCTTTGGGAAAAGAAGAAAGAGGGGTGATATGATAACACTTATCAAATACTTGAAAGGCTGTCATACAGAGGAGGGGCAGGATCTGTTCTCAATCATCCCAGAGTCCAGGACACACAACAATGGGCTCAAGTTAAGGGAAGTCAGATTTTGGTTGAATATCACGAAAAACTTCCTACCTGTTCGAGCAGTACAACAGTGGAACCAGTTATCTCAAGACATGGTGAGTGCTCCAACACTGGAGGTATTCAAGAGAAACTTAAACAACCACCTGACAGATATCCTTTGATTTGTATTCCTGCATTGAGCAGGGTGTTGGACCTGGTGGCCTTATAGGCCCCTTCCAACTTCACTATCCTATGATTCTATGAAGCCTATGTAATAAGTATTATATAGTTACGTAACATCAAGTGCACTTGACTTATGGTGACCCTTCCCGTGTTTGTAGCATTAAATTAATGTTGAATTGTAGAAGTTAAAATGAAGTTTTTATGAAGGGATATCAATAACCTGTTTTTAGGTTTACCTTTTACTGTGTCACTTTTATAGTGTTCTATCAATTTATGGATGAAATTTGTGGAGTGGCATTCCCATCACTGACATTTTTATGGAGGATGCTTTGGTCTGTCTAGCAAAACCAATTTGGTGAACTTTATGGCTGCCATCACAGTTAGTTTCTGTCAATACCCTTGACTTCATTCAGGGCTGAACAGTCAATCTGGGAAAGGCAAACAGAAGATGGGCTCCGTATCTTTCTACTTTGAAGTCACCGCTTGCTGGAACCTCATACTATTCAAAATTGAGAATACACCTCCCGTTTTTTGGGTTTTTTTTTTTTAAAGTTCACTCCCTGCAGCTGATGAAGTTGGCTGTTTGCCCATTAAAGCTACTGCAGTAATGCATTTGTGAGCCTTAGAGATGATATACAACTCTTGACTATTCTGCTACAACAGACTAATATCCCTACCATGTGGGAATTTTTTTGGCTGTAGATCCTACATTTGCCTTTCAAAAAATATCTTTAGAATTATTGTTGCTTATTATCTAAGCACAGGTGCTTTTAATCTGATTCTGAATATTTGGTGGAATTGCTCTCTGGGACAACTAAACAAATTCGTGACGGGGGCCTCTTCATGTCATTTCCATCTATATGTTGGTCAGTGGGGGCAATGTACTGTATTTAAACATGGATAGCTTCTTTGAAGGCCTTCTTTGGCAGGAATTGGACTTCCTAGCCTAGCTGATCATGTTCAGCTCTGTGGCTAGATACCTTAGAGTGGTTAAGACATCATGACAATGTATTACGGCTATTCTTAAATGCTGTTATTGATTTTACCTGTATAGATCCCAGGCTTGGCATCATTAGCTGGTACAGTGTGGCGTTTAGCAGGGCCCACAAGTTAGATCAGCCCACTGGGGTTGATAATTTGTCTGGCGTCAGTCTTAGTCAGAGATGGGGAAACCTGATAATTTCACTTTTCCCTCAAGTTATTTCCATTTCAATGAACATGAAGAAATTTGTGAATTTTGGTAACACCAACATAAAATTTTTAATTTGCACTGGTTAGATACAGTTACATTTGTTGTGACATGGAGTGGACTATTTTCTGCTTGCTGCTATTAAGATCCTAAAGATGAGGAACCTTTCAAGAAAAAAAAGAGGTGGTATTCCTAATTTAGCAAGAATATGGTTGAGTACAGAAGGTTTGCATGGACTTTTAAGGCAAAATCCAATTGATAGTCATGACTAGAGTAGATCTATTAAATGAGTGGGATATATGCAATCAAAAGTGATGCGAATCCCATTGATTCACTGGTATTCCCTAACTGGGAGAGACAACTGGATCTTGGAGCTAAGCGCTCCAAGCTGAGATTGTGGATAGATAAATCTGTCAGTTTTAGTTTCTCCACATTTGAATTCTGAAAAATCTAGAGTTCTTACCAACATATGAGCAAATTTGTCATTTTTGGTACTTTCTAAACAAAACTGTGTTTGCCCGTGAAAGCCACTGCAGTCATTTGAATTCTGAAAAATCTAGAGTTCTTTCTTACCAACATATGAGCAAATTTGCCATTTTTGGTACTTTCTAAACAAAACTATGTTTGCCCATGAAAGCCACTGCAGCTGAAAATCTCACCTATCCCTAAGTATAATTAGAATATGATCTGCTTATAACATCATATCAGAGCCAGATCATATCAGTCAGAATGTGAAAGGGAATAAAGAGAAATAAGTGTACAGTATTCTTTTTTTATTTTTAAGAATCTAATCATTTGCAGAAAAGCAGCACTCCCATGCAGTGAAATTAAACTTCAGTGGTTTAGTACAGGTTGCCTAATTGTACAGATGATCAGGTTTTACTTTATATTTCAACTGATTCACATTTATGATAATAATAATATTAGTAATACAATATGGTATGGGAAAATGAAGGCAAAAAATTATGCATGAAAATTATGAATCCATGAACAGCACAAATGTCAAAGTAGTTTGCAATGAAATACTGTTTAAAGGCTTTGTTGGAGAACTAAAATCGTGTGCCTAATTTGAGAAGTTGAAGGCACGAGCCATTAGGATTGTACACCTAACTACTTAATGCCAAAACAAGTCATTCCCATAGATGTGTGTGGTTTTTTTTTTTAAAAAATCCTTCCCTGAAAATCCAGCTTCTGTATTTGCATTTGGCTCCTCTCGGAAGCCCAGAAATAGGGTAGAAAGACAGGAATCTTCTCCCATTGTTGCTTTCCAACAGCAGGTATTTAGTGGCAAATTGCATGATTGCTTGTCATTTTTGGGCATAAAGAATATGCCTGATTGTGTTTTATAGTCCTCTAACTTAGTGTCCCATCTTGCAGAAGGGAGTTCCCTAAATTGTCCTGCAAAGAGCCCGGCCCTTCCCTTAGGCTGCAGATGACAAATCCTGTGGAGCAACACCAGCCTCCTGGAAAGGAGAGAACTATGTGCCATATGGCTTGCAATATACCTTGCTAAACTTGTCCACTGCCTTCAGATAGAGTAGTGGTTCTTAACCTTTGATCCTCCAGCCAGCATAGCTGATGATCAGAGATCTTGGGAATCAAAGTCCAAAACATCTGGAGGTCAAATATTTGAGAACTCTAGTGTAAGAGGATGCTTTGACACTAGCCGTGTTGGAGAAAGACTGAGGTACCAATCCAGTTGGCTTTCATACATGGAACAGTGAAGAATATCATCTTCCTCTTCACCTTTGGCAATAAAATGTCTTGGGTTGATTTGGTAATGCATTGTACAGTGGACCCTCGACTTACAGACGGATCGACTTACAGACTTTTCGACTTGCAGCCACCATTCCAATACGGATTAATTCCTTAAGTAGAGGGTCCACTGTAATTAATTTAGGATGATTCTTATACCTATAGGACTATTTTGGGAGTTGTCTAGGTATTTCCTCTGTTCATCTTTGACCTTTCATCTTACCTTATGCTCCACCAGGTCAAGGAAGATTCCTCTACTCTGTAATAATTCCGCTGGGCCCTTTGTATGCAAAGCAAATATGTGCTCTATTTACTAAATTCTGTCCCTTTTGCACATTGATCTGCACTGTATAAAGGAAATTAATTCAATGCTGAGCCCCTTGTGTTATCTCGTGTGTTCAAATTGCAGATGCTCCAAGCCCAAAGCCAGATAGACTTAAACAAGGCTGTTTTATCCAGATCTTATCAGATGGTACTTTCCTTCCTAGAATATACTCCAGTTACCACTCCAGTAAAAGCTAAGGGTTGGCTGTGCAAGGGGAACCATTTTTAATGGCTGATCAGCTAGAACTTATTTCTTTTTTGTTTTTACGACTTCTAGAAACCAGCTCACTCTTGAGAACAGGAAACGAAGTTATTACCTAGCAAAAGTATCTACACCCCCACACTCCAGGGAGAGTGAACTAGCCTCAAGGCTTTGTAAAAGCAGCTGAAAGAATTTGTAAGGAAACTTAAAACTGCACAGTCATCCGATTCTTTGCCTGATCCAAATTCATTCCCCTCCCCACCGCAATCTATTTAACTTTGTTTCTAAAAGTTGCGGGTTCTCTCAACCACCAGCTCACCACTGAATTTTATACTCTTAATGAAATATCATTCTTTGACTGCTTCAGGAAGTTTGCTTAGGAAATGTAATTGCTGATCTTTTATAACTGAAAGAGAGATGGTCTGTAACTATCCTGTAACTAGTGATGTTGATTTATTCTGCGGCACAATACCATAGATGCATTCTCATGCAGCTGTAATTAGAAAAGACTAGGTACATTCAACGTGATATAGCTGGACATCAAGGTACATGTTTTGGATGTCACATGATGCAGTGTTAATTCTTGCCAAATTTCTCTGTGTATGTGAGATAGAGGTAGTAAAAAATTAAAATAAATTGTTTCTTCCTTCCTAGAAGGAGCTAATGTAATTTATTAGTCCCTTTTTTTCAACAGAGTAATCTTAGTTCATCGGCAATTTTTTCCAAAATAGACAGTATTGTTCCACGTTTTCCTATAGCCCTCAAGGCAAACAAGTGCCCGAGTTATTTATCTGTGCTTCTCGAGTTTGTATTGTGACTGTTATTGCTGTTGTTTGTCAAGTCTGGAGGCCATGTTGATCCAGTCTGAATAATTGTTCTTTTGTGAGAAAGGAAAATGCGAAGTTTCACAAATAAATTGAGTTGCACAATTTGGCTTTGCGGCTTCTCTGACATTCTAATAAATGTCAAAGCAAGATGGATGCAGTCTGTGAAGATAATTAGAAATATAGGAGGGTTTTACCCTGTCCATATGTTGGCTTCTCACTTAGCATATACAGACAATGTTGTTTTGCAGACAGCACGTCCCTGCACAGAAGATAACAG